TTTTCAATAATCCTAACGTCTTAACCTCGTAAATTAATCTCGATGGGATTAAAAGAAAACTGGAGTTGAATTGAAATTAAATTTCCATTAAATTTGAATTAAATGGATATTAAAAATGACGATGCGTTGTCACGCAATGTTGACCACTTGGATGCACCTCGACGCAGCCTTCCGATGCAACCGGGTGCAGTATCCATCGGTCGGCGAATTTGTCAATACCGTGCAAACGAACTTGTAGAGCCTGATGCACCGGTGTATACGGGGTACGCGCGCATCACCGGGATCCGCTTACTGATTTGCACGATAATGGCGCAATTCCGGCGTCGCGATGACAGAGACGAGATTGTCGTCCAGGGAATGCGCTACGCAACCCTATCGCCGATAATCGCGGACGCATCGAGCATAGGGCGACCCTGGAATGGCCGAGTCGAGGCGCGGAAATGAATTTGTGCCGAGAGCGTCAAACGGTCGTCGCATTAGGCCACAAAATGCCGGAATCGGCCGTGTCGGTCGCAGACACGGCCGGGTGCTGGCCGTGTTTTCTGCTTGATCACAATTGCCGCCATTGCTCGCAGTTGACGAGCGACTCGCTCAACCGGCGATCTCGTTTAGAGCCAATTGCACGCCGCGGAATTTCATACCACAAATCCGGATTATATCGCGCCGTTTCGGGCCTTCGATTGATCGCTCGCAGACGGCTCGCAACAAAGTTCGCTTGCGGTGGCATTCCGCGCGGCCGGCCCGCTGCGGAACCGCGAAGTGCAGCCCACGTTTACTTTGCGCACCGTCGATCGAAGAGCGTTCAATCCGAGTCGTGTCGTATTTGCATACTTTAAAGTACTCGTAAAAAATACCATACATTATCTAGCTGTGACAATAGTTGTTCTGCCCTGAAAAAAAAAAGAAAATAATTGACTCAAAGAATATGCATTGCTGCAACAAAATCCTGCAATCAAGTACGTCCAAAGGAGCGTCGATAAGGGTAAAGGGAATTTATTTACATCGACGACATAATTTTTCATCTCAACGAAATAATTCTTTCTTGCATTTAAATATGATTCAGGCAACAATATATATTTTTGTTTGAGTTAAATAAACTTTTTTCTCAGGGTGGCAATCAGGGGCGTATTGTCGGTTTAAGCGGAACCTCTTTTCGAGGGTGGTCTTTTTATCGCAATTGTGATTTGGGTATTGGTCGAAGCGATTCGATCGATTCGGCCCGATGTTTAATCGGGGAAAGGTGGAATGAAATGGAACAGGGATGAAAGGAGTGACATATGTACGTTCCGAATGTCGGTGGATAAAGGAAACGTCGCCACCCCACGCGTCTCCGAAGGCGAGGAGAGGGTGTCGGAGAGTCGAGGGATTCGAGATTATCTCGGTCGATACATAAAAACCGTCTTTGGTGGCTTTCGAGTGGACAATGGGAAAACTGGGCGGGCTCGGTAAGCACTTTAGGTGCCTATATAAATTAATTGTACGGCCGCGGGGTGCACGTCGGGTCTCAAGTGGGCGCGCGAGATTAGAGGGTTCGTTTTTGTTGGATTTGCACAACAATGGCGAGGATCGGGCCGGCATGGCCGTTTCCGGGGTGAGAATCCTTAATCCCGGTGCTCTCCAATTTGATACATTTCTGTCCTCTCTTTATCGGCCAGGGATTAGCTCGTCCGCCCGGCGAGCCTCGATCGCATCGATCGAGATTCGACTCGACCTCGCATTTGCATGTTCCAGAGAGAATGACGCCTGCCTTTTCGAAGTCGAATTATCCACGCGGGGGATGCGAAACTTCGCAATTTGAAAAATGAAAGCCGCTCCGGCACTTTCCGATGCGATCACACGCCAGGGATTCTAAGGAAACGTCGAAAGTCCCCCTGAAAGAAGCGTCGCAATTTTCCACCCCCGATCTCACGGGAAAATCAAAATGGCGGCGCCTGATTTTCGGCGCGTCGGTTTGAAATTTCACATTTTTATAGAAAAATTTTGAAAATGTCTGTAAACAAATTTTCTTAACATTTAAATTTCACGGGTGCCAGGACCTTCCTTAGAGCCTCCGTATTTATGTTTCAAAGTTTGAACATCCAGTTCGGAAAAAAGTTTCACGAACGAGACGTTGAGGTGAGTTGTCTAGAAACGATGTAGTTAGATGGCAATGGACTCCTTTTACGCCGAGAGCAAATGGTCGAATCGATGGATATTGCAGGATAATTCGCCCACCCTGACCTTCTAACCTGCTCTAATTGCGTATGCGACCACGACATGTGTTTCGGCCCTTTAGCACAAAGGTACGTTGGGCAGACGGGAAGCCGTGATCCTAGTCATTCCTCGTATATTTCGGGACACGCTGCACTCCCGTAACCATTTAACTGCGCGCATGCTCTTATTGTATACAGCTGGCATATGGCGCGAAAGTAACGTCTCTATTATGCCTCTAACAAATGGCCGGCCATATTTAACGCAGTTAATCGTCCCGTGAGCAAGAAAGAGGAGCGCAGAGTAAACCTTGCACCGGCGACGAGAGCAGTTTAAATAACCTCGATCGTCGTCTACACCTCGCAAATGGATACGATCGAATCGATGCGACCTACCCTAACCTCCTAACCTCCAAAAGACCCTCGAGTTCGACTTAAAAAAGAAAAATACCCCTAAAAGGAAATTTCTCCCCTTGAGTCATTAAGGTGAAGTGAAATCCCCTTAAATCCGTCGAGTCGAATGAAACACGTTTTTTAAGGATATTGGGCCGAATTATCCTACTTTTACGCACAAAATGTCAAATAAACAAGCTGTCGATACAAACTCGAACATCGGTAACACAGATATTTATAAGAATCTTTTTTACCTACGTCGATTAAATTTCACGACGTGTTCATTTTGTCTTAAATCTACAAATTAAAAGTTTCCAAAAAAATTCCACTCTTCGCATCGGTACATCCCGGATGGGATTTCGCATCGGAATTTTTTCCGTCCCAAAGGCGCGTCGACTCAATGAAAATAATCCAATTTGAATAAACGCAGGACATAAAAGGCTGATTTAATGCAATCCCTTTTTCGATCCGGCGCTCTAATTCGCGGCCGCGACTCGAAAGCTCTGCCTTTCAAGTCTCTCTTGACTAATCCCCATGGACTCTTATTATACGACGTATATAAATCCCCCGCAAATTACACGTTCACCGGCGAGCATACATGCTCGGTACATCTGCGTGCGCGTACGTTACACGTCGAGGGCGTAAACTGCCCGAGATCGAGTCCCGTAATCAGATGACCTCTTTGTTAATTAAGAAGGGAGGATTTGGTAATACGGCTAACTCTAAAAAAGGCCATGGCTTTCTTTTATACCCTCAAATCGAATCGACATATCCTCGGGTTGTGTACTCGCGACGTATAGAATCGACACGGACATAGACTGGCCTCCCGCAACGAGATTATGGTAATTGACTATCCGACTTGGAAACCCCCATCAGGCATATCAATTACGCCCGTATGCATCCCAACCGGGAATTTCCCTTTGATCCGTTCAAACTCCGAGGTAACACAATTCACGCCTACGTCTAATCTCAAATGGGATTGCCCGATGGCACAAGGGACCCGGAATGGACTTTTCCGACTTCGCCAAGATTCACCCTCGCAACTTGTCCTCTCTATTTTTTTTTTTTTTTTCCCCAACCCCGTTTCGCCACTTTCGTCCCTTCGTTATGCTGCCTGGAAAATAGTCGTCTTCGATTTTCTTTCTTTTTTCGAGACCCCGCACACGGTCCGAGGAGCTATTCTCACTCGGAAATCAATGAAAACGATTTCCTTCTTTAAGAACCGATTGCCTTTTGTCTCATATGATAGACAATGCAATTCGGTTAGAAATGGCGTTCGGACTTAAAATCGTGACAGTGTTTCGATGATTTCCAACGATTTCCAGTTTATCTCCAAATGATTTCCAGCGTTAAATTCAAGGAATTTCTGAGTGACTTCTTCGACGCGGCACATTTCTCTTTGGACCCATTTCTTAATAATAGACCGCGGAATGGGTACGCGATAAGACCTCGATATCGAACTCATTGTCGAGTGAGTTAACTCGAAAGAAACACGTAGTGATAACCAGATAAAGTTCAAAGAGATAATCGCCGGCCGGATCTTTCTCAATTCGGGTCGCTCATTGGAAGGATGCAAAAAGAGCGCGCTTGTTTTACTGGTTTCCCCCGGGCCTGACAAATTTGATAATCGGGGAGATAACTCACCTTGAATCTAAAGTGGACGTCCGATAATGGCGCGAGGCCTTACAAAAGGATGTCGGAACGGCGTTAATAAGCGCCCCCCTCGTCGCTCGACATCTATCGAACCCTTATCACTAATTATTATAAACTTATTAATTTATTAAAAATTCTCCCCGAGCGAGGGACAAGAAACAATGAGAACGTCAACGTGCATTTTACAATAGAATGTAACGCGACTTCATATATGCAAGGATATAGAAAAAGAATTCAGTCATAATCAGAAATTTTACATACTTGAAAATGGACCAGGAACATTTATATCCAGAAACATTATTGTAACATTGAGAACAAATATAACCGATTACTTTACCGAGACAATGAAAATTCTATTCATGGTTGCAATATTCTTTTCCAGCGAAGTTGTACGTCGCTCATTTGTTCGAATGGTAATAATATTTTTTAAGGATCAGAAATATTTTTGCAGTTGGTGTAATCATTCCTGCAGTAAGGCGAAATATTTATCAGCAATGTGTTTCATTGGTAGAAGTGCAAATTTTTTTTTTTTCTATGTACTCCGCACCGTAGATGCAGCTTCGGTGCAACGTCCATTTCAGATCCAGCTGAAAGACTTTATTAACGGATGCATAATGTACGGGGCAACGAAACGGGGGTGGTTATATACCGCGTTGATAAGGGGCAGCCTTTTTACTAATCTCGGTCACTAATCGATTCCCGCGATATAAATAAGCGGCATGATGGTTATTGAGACCTCAAAGTCTCGTCGGACACGGTCGCGTAATGGCGCGGGTGGAACTTTTCGGGAGCCTTTTGGGCCTTTTGAGCCTTTTGGGCCTGTTGGGCCTTTCGGGACATTTAACCCTGGTGTCTGCAGAATCCACCGACTGCGACCTCCGAAACTTATGGGACTCCCCAACTCCCAACAAAACCAGTGAAAGTGAAAACTTCGTCGAGGTTTCCCCGGTTTTGTCAAGGGGTTTCATATCGACTACGAAGCTTCCCATCTCCTCCACCATACACAACGTTGTGTCCCACGCAGTTAAGGAACTGATACCCAGTGTCGAGGAAGACAAAAGTAAGACTTATACCCTGAGAAAAAAGATTGGTTGACCGAAACAAAAGTATGTATCGTTGCCTGAATCAAACATAACCGCAAGGAACAATTATTTTCCCGAGATAAAAAATGATATCGTCGATTTAAATGAATTTTCTTTACTCTTCCTGACGTTTCTTTGGACGTATTCGATAGCAGGATTTTCTTGTAGCACCGCATACTTCTCTGAGCCAACCAACCTTTTATCCTCTCAGTCTAATGGACTTAAAACAAAAAATCGGCCATTTTCACGGTCACCGTCTTCAGGGAATAAATTCAAGTCGCCGTGTAGTGAAATTTGGAAAAATTCCACTGACGTGAGCGAAGTCTCCTTTCTTTTTGCTTTTCTTGCAGGTATTGAGACGGTGATAGCCGAGTATGACAATTATGGGAAGCTCAAAGTGACACACGGGGACTTCGACAAATGTATAGTGACCACCAGTACTAATGTCACGTTTTCTCTATATCCACCGAAGGATGTTCCCAATCATATCCAATATTCCACGTTTTACGTATCCTCGTGTTCGGTGACTTTATCGTACACTCAAATCGAGCACGCCGGGTTGTGGACGATCAGGGCAGAAAAAGATAACCTCATGATACTGGAGAGAAAGTTCATGGTGTGGGTGAAGAAGGTACGGTTAACAAATAATTTTACGTTAGATGGTATTGTCCCATAATCGCTGTTATGAAAAATATTTCCAGTACTCGCGGATTATTCCTGATGACAGTATATACGTGTACCCAGGCAATACCATTGCCGTCAGGCTCGGGGAGGATGTGAAAAATCTGACAAAATGCGTCATAAAAAATTCTCAGGTATAATATTGACGCTTGACAAAATTAAAAAAAAAAAAAAATATCATTGAACAATTTTCACGGGTTGGGAATAATTGCCTCAATTTTTCCGACAACAGGGCACAGAATTCACCCCGGATGACAAAGGCATAGAAAACGTACGTGCTTTTGGTCAATGCGGTATCCACTTATCTGCAAAACCTGAACATTCTGGAACATGGGAATTTACCGCAATTGACGGGATCAAGGTCATCTACTCGGCGAAAATGAAAATCAAGGTGGCCAAGACTAATCTAACGGCAGAAGATGTAAGTCCGCCGTTCATTTCTTTTTTATTCTTGCGAAATACCGAAAAAAAAGTGTATTACCACCGTTATGAACAATTAGGAAATCGTTTATCTGAAAGTCGGTACCAAGAAGACTTTAAAACTGACTAGAAGCGGCATAAGATTCTGTCAATTTACAAGACCGGACGGAGTTGTATTGCCTATTCAAATTGGCAGTTGCGAATACGACATACCTGTAGTTACCGAATTTCATAAAGGTAACTGGACCGCTCGGTACGGCTTGCAAGGAACTCTGGGCAATTTCGAATCGAAGATCGACGTGCGACTTTATGGTATGAACTCGATCCCATTTTTCCCGAATTTTCGCCTAATTCATTGCTGCCATTAATTCGGATCCAGCTCCAAAAATGTAAAACATTAAATATAGAGACCTACAGAATTGTCGTTACAGATATCCCGTTCTTGAATACCACTCTCACGTACACGCCTAATGGGGACATCAATATACTTTGTAAAATTCGATCGGATCGTTTGAAATCGTGTTTCTTCGCTAAACCCGACGGTTTGATCATTCCCGTCCAGGCTGGAATTGGAAACAGCAGGTACTTTATATATTTCTTAAGAATTGCTGTTAATATTTTCGCATAATCTCACCCGATTTTTAGATACGCCTACTATGGAGATAATCTCGGCTCGGATTATGGGAGTTCTGATATACAGGACTGTGGACTGACGATCATCAACCCTTCGAAGGAGGACTACGGTCCTTGGAAATGTAGATTCGACATCGGATGGGCATATCACCCAGGAAAAGTAATTCACGTCCACACCTCTAACGACACTTTCAAGACATACGGCCACAACGTGACTGTCAAACGCGGAAACTCGTTCACGGTAACGAATAAATATTTCCTTGATTGTCCCATGAGAATATAAAAGTAATTGGGAAGAATTTTCTAACGTCAGATAGGAAAGTTCTTCACGAATGAATTATTGCACACAATGCAGCAAATCAATCGAGCCTAATTAACAGGTCAGGTGTCGAACGAATACCGCTCTTCGTTATTGCTGGTTCCAAAGTCCCGATGGAAAGGCTTACTTTCGTTCGGATGACAAGAACCCTCAATTACCGCACCTTCGCGCAATAAAAGCCGAACTTTCCTTGGGCGATTGTGGGGTCACTGTCAATAACGCTAATGACAGTGACATAGGCCTGTGGACATGTCACATGGGCACGACAGGTGGAACCGAGTTGACCACTCCGTTGTCGGTCAAAATGATAGGTACGACATTACATAATTAATCCACGCCTTAAACGGACATCGAAAAGCAATGAAATAATTGCAATAGCCGAACGATACGATAAAAGGCACGTAACGTATCGTATTTCCAGATGACAGATTACACGCGGTGGAGAAGCGCGTACTTGTTGTCTCGGGAATCGCGACTTTGACATGTCACGCAGCTCTTGAGCACAAGATTATTGAATATTGTTTATGGATTCGTCCCGATGGCCTTGGTATCAACGATAATAATGTGCATTTGGGATATTCCCCCAAAAGGAATTTCACATATTGTCAGCTGGACATTACCGGTAAGTATGTCTACACTGAAAGTAAACTGAACAACTTGACCCTGTTGAAACCATTTTTTGTTTAAGAATTTTAACAGCAATTTATTGTTTGATTTAAGAAAAAAAAATAGATCTTTTAACGAGATTTTTCTCTCGGTGCATTTCTGACATAAATAATAATTCCTTTTGTCATGCGAGTCATTTGACGATTCTGATGATTTTTAATATATCTTTTACAGGGGTGACCAACAACGACATCGGACAATGGATTTGCGTGGCAAGGATATCTTCTTCCCAAGAGGAAGAAATAGCATACGTCGAACTAGTACGTGAGACCGACGTCCCGAACGGGAGAAACACTTTGTTAATTGTTTCCATAACAGTGGTGCAACTCGTCATCGCGGCGGTTATCGGAACGGCAGTAGCACTCATATTCTTAAAAATAAGAAGGAGGAGATTAGGAAGAGGCAATATACGCGAGGTAAACGAGAACCTACCGACACAGTACGAAAACGTGCACAAAGTTCCACTATAAAGCTTACCAATTTTACTTAATCATGTATCGATTGGGTACCAACACTGATAAATATGCCCATGTAAATTTACATACCCAATCATTGGTTATTTCAATGCCACGATAAATTGCAGTAAAATTACATTCCCTCTGTAATATCACATTCAGCATCCGAGTTAAATCATAGAAAATGATAACGTAACATTACATTAAATTCAAGTAAATCTGCACCAATACGGTAAATCCACAATGTTAGGTGTATCTATACATTCTCTAATTTGTAACTCTCCCACTTTACGTTTTTTCACGTAAAACTTAAGTTATGAAGTGTGCCAAAATCTATGTAAATTTCGATGGATTTTTATCAGTGAACTCTACTTGACGGGGGACCCCCTTACGAAGTTTTCACTTACCGTAATTTCTGATGTACTAGTTGATAAGCTTCGGGGATAAAGAAAAGATGTCTATCTACAAGACCAGCAAATATTCCTGGTATGTATTATAGTTTCATACTCCGCGCAGCGCCTCGTGAGGGGATAATTTCATAAATGAATATACGCCGCGGAGCGATAATTTATTATTCACTGACTAGGTAATTTCGCGCCCTACTTGAGTGACAAAGCTTTCGCGAGCTTTCCATTTATAAAATATGTCCTGGGTATTCTAGCGCGCTCGCAGTATCGGATCCATGTTCGGGGACACTTAATATTGCTCGTTTTGCGTCATACAATATTAAGCACCTACTCGACGCCAGTTATGGCTCTTTTTATGTAGATACACGTCGATCGATTAGCACGGTGCCACCGAGACACAGCCAGAAAATGTTTTATATTAAACTTCTCCACGAATCTCGTAGCCTCCGATAGGACAAAATCCGTATGCCAATTTAATCATCGCGATCCCTATCAGGCTTTTAAAAGAAAAAGAACATGTCCTTGAGGATATCTCGATAAGCCTCGCGGTGTAATCTCTGCTCTGCGGGTTATTAAATATTACCAACGCTGCACATTTCCGCTGCAGAGGGCGACTTCGCGAACACGGTTACGAGTGTAGATTAACCAGTCCACCTATACCTGTGCACTTTTTCATTAGCAGTGAGCTTTAGCCAGCGAACGTTCCCCAAGCTAACATCAATTTCCGGGGAGGAAGTGCGCGCGCACGAGTTCCACGTCCCGAAACAAAAAGTTCATTTTGTACTCGGCAACAAAATGTAGGCGGGTACAAAGAGCGATTTAGAAAGCATATCCGCTTAGGGTAACCCAATAGGGAGTTATTGCTATCCCAGAAGTGGAGAAGATCCCGCAAATCGCGTTTCGCGTATCGCCAAGAGCTCCTCCGAATGCGATATTTACTTCCGGCGAGCGGTCACCAGAAATCGAGGAGGCGAAAATTAAATTCTCGACTCCCGTCCATTTTTTCTCTCTCTCCCTCTCTTTCTCTTTTTTTTTTATTTGCCCCTGGACAGCTTAAAAAGAATTGGCAATTACACGGAGCTAGGGATTCCTCCCGGGAGAGGATCGATCGCCGGATACCTGGAAACGCGGCCATTTACGTCGATCCCCGTATATATTGCTGAAATTCGGACGTTGTAAATTAATTTGCGCGAAAAAAAGGGATCGCCGCCATTCGTCCCTGACTCGAAACGCGAGGCGGAACGCTCTCGCGGGAAATTCCGAGAATGTCGCGCCGAGACGTCCATTTTGTACCCAGAATTAGTTCCCTTTGCGAATTGGCCGTGCAATTAATTCGCAGGTATTCCGATTCCGTCGAAAAAAAAATGATGTACCATCGGGAGTGATGAGGGAACTCCAGAATGTGAGGAAATGTAGGTTATAAAAATTCGGGAAATTCCGAGGACATTGTGTATCCAGAATTAGTTCCCTCCGCGAATCGGCCGTGCAATTAATTCGCAAACATTCCGATTCCGTCGATAAAAAATTAAACACCATCGGGAAGGATAAGGGAACTCCAGAATTTGAGGAAAATGAAGGTTATAAAAATTCGGGAAATTCCGAGGACATTTTGTATCCAGAATTAATTCCCTCCGCGAATTGGCCATGCAATTAATTCGCAGATATTCCGATTTCGTCGATAAAAAATGATATACCATCGGGAAGGATAAGGGAACCCCAGAATTTGAGGAAAATGAAGGTTATAAAAATTCGGGAAATTCCGAGGACATTTTGTATCCAGAATTAGTTCCCTCCGCGAATCGGCCGTGCAATTAATTCGCAAACATTCCGATTCCGTCGATAAAAAATTAAACACCATCGGGGGGGATGGGAAAACTCCAGAAAGTGAGGGAAACGGGGGTTAAAAAAAATTCAGCATGCATCTGGCATGCAAATGCAGCAGGAACCTTTAATCCCGAACCTCGACGTCCTCTCTCATTCCCTCCGAGGATAGACACGCGTGTCGAGTAGGCTCGCACGTCCGTCTGTATTTATTTATCCGCACGTGCGTGTGCATACGCATGTACACTCGTTGCACACGTTAAACCCAGATGCGCGTGCCAGACGGAGTGCGATTATTGCATCTCGTGTTCAGGGTTTGGGGTAGCATCCTTCCCTCCTGTCCCCGACACCGAGGATGCGAAATCTGCGGACAATGATACCGACACGAGCACATTCGAGGTTAGGATTAAAAAAACGCTGGATGCCCCTTTTGTCGACGCGTTGACAAAAGTAACGTTTAGCGCGCGGTCTCCTTCAATGGCCGCGCCGTGTGAAGTCGGGCATTAAATTCAACGCCCATAGAGATGGAAGAAAAAAGAAAAAAAAGAAAAAGAATCGGTACTCCCGTGTCGAAAATGTATGTCGACGGGTAGACGTCGATGACAATGAATTACAGAACGGGAAGGTCGGATAGAGAAAGGGTACGACCGATACGAAAAAGCAGATCGAAGCGAGAGTCGAAAGCGGTCGCGTTTTCGGTGCTCCGCGCGAAGAGCGCCTCGATTCAGCAGGGTGTCTCACTCGCTCCCGCGCGGCGACGCATCGGTCCTTCTCTCTCGCACCCGCACTCGAGCGCGAGGACCCAGCGAGGAGGCGGTAAATCCCGACTGATATCTCGAGCCCCGGGTTAATCCAGCGCCTAGATTACTCCTCATTGCTTAGAGCGCGGGACAGCAGCGAGTTAGGGATTCCGAGGACCGGAAAGGAGGCGGGACGAAGGCGAAAGATTGCCGGCGTGCTAGTAATTTCGCGGGATTAATACTTAATATCCAGGGAAACGTCGGCGGGGTCTCGTCGTTCCGCGAGGTCCCTCTCGAGCGCTTTCGTGTCTCCTTCCTTCCCGGTGCCCTCCTTGTCTCTCCCGTCCGCCGAGGGGCCTTTGATACACCCTAAGCCCCCCCCAAGACCGCCCTCGAGTTCATCGAGGAAACAATTCCGCTGCCGCGTAATTGTACGACGAAAAACCGATCGTGGCCTTCCCCGCCGGGAAATATCGGCAAGGACAGCCTTAAGAAACTTCCTGCCTTGTTATTTTGCCTCGCGAGCCAATCGGTAGTGACGAGGATTGACCAAGATGGAGGCTTTCGAATGCCCTTCGTTAGGGAACGGAATATCAGGGTCTGAGCCGCTGCCGGATGGTCTCGAGGAAAACGCGCAAGGAAAATGAGAAAATGTAACGCGACACAGTGGCGAAATTGACGAAAAGCCTGGCCGTAATCCTTAAAAATGAAATTTGTATTTCGGTGGTATTCATCGTCATATTGGGTAGAGGGGTAATTCCGACATTTATTGCTAAACGGACGAAAGCCTAATTGTTACGCACGGTTCTTTACGTCGATCTAAAATTTACATTCGTACGAATTAGACATCGGTCTCCAAGACGAAAAATGTAACCGAGTTCGAACTTCCAGTTCCATAAATTGTAGAGTATTGTCGAAAAATCGTGGAATATCTAATAACTTTTAAAGTTTATCTTACGTCTAAAACTGATGAAATATAATGTTATAACGTAACGATTTCATATTCAGGTAACTAGTTTTTACCGACTTTTTCGTCATTTTTGCCATTGTGCGGCGCATCGTCCCCCTAACTGAGGTTACCTAACGAAACCGCTTTTGCGAAAATTCCGGGCAACCCCGTCCGCCTCGACGTACACTGGGGAAACACATTGGCGGAGTTCCCTCGCATTTTCAATGATCTAATTGAAAGCAGGAGAGCAACTGCCGACGAACTGCTGTATCGGGCCTTTTACGGGAAAGTCCGCGCCGGCGACGGCGACCGCTGATAATAACTTTTAAGGATTTCTGGCTGCTTTGTTCCTGGGCACGAGCAACACCAACGAAGGCAATAAACACCCTCTGGGGGGTCCATGCGCTTTGCTGACGGCGGATATCCGCACTTCCGGGCGCGATTGCAGGGGCCTCCACGATGCGCGTGCACGCGCGAAGCCCCTGACCGCGGCGCAACGCGTCGAGGAAAATTAAACGGCGCCTATTTCAATTTTTCACGGCGCAATTTCTCCCGAATAAGAGCGGAATTCCGCTCTTCGCGATACCGACGAGCCGGGAGTGAATCTTGCATTTTTGAGGGCCACGAATTGTTCGACCTCCCTTTTTTTCTTTTCGCCCGATTTATTCTGCATCCCGCCGACTCTGAGTGGGAATCTCGTTATTCTACGGTCATACTTGATATTACTATTTTCAGCCGAGACTACTGTTTCGACCAGAGTCGAGTTGGTGCATTAAATAGCGGTGGCGCCAATCTGACAATGAGCCGCAATGCGGTCCAGGAGACGTATCGGACTCGATTACGTCTTTATATTTTCGAGAAGCTGGAATAACGTAACCCCCTATTTTCAGACGATTTATTATTCATCGCGCTGCCTCCGAATGGAGATCTCGTTGTTCAACATTTAAGAGGGTATCTGATGGGTCAATTGTTCTAGAACATTTTCTCCGTACTGGGTGTGCCGAATCGCTTCAGACTTTATAACCTGAATATGAATGCTATAAGGATGATCCTGACGCTCGTGAAATTTCATTTTCAGGAGAATAATTAGAAATGTCTGTGAAGAAATTTAAACAAAATAATGAAATTTCATGGGTGTCAGGACCTTCCTTATAGCCTTAATGTTCGCACTGTAGTATTTAAAAAGATTCAGTCCACCCAGTTCGGAGAAAGGTTTCATAAGCGAGACTCCGATTTTCAAACGACTTATTTTCCATTGCACTGCCTATGAACTATTTTATTACTGCAAACTAATTAAACTCCGATTAACTCGAGTTTACCTTTTATTTTTGACTAAAACAATTTTTCCTACGAGAATCGTGTCGGGGCATTCGGTGCACCCTTCGCGATTATTTTTAGCACGTGCATAAGTAAATAGCGATGGCGTGCGACCGGCGTGAACCTCACTCACATTAACCGGTGTAC